CCCCCCACACACACATACAGTCACAAACACACACGCACACACACAAACACACGCACATATAAATAAACACTGACACACACACACAAACTCACACAAAAACTCACACACACACAAACGCACACAAACAAACAAACACACGCGCACGCACGAACACACATCAAACACCCACACACACACACCTACACACATGCACACACAAACACAAACACAAACACACACAAACACGCACACGCACGTTCTCTCTCTCTCTCTCTCACACACACACACACACACACACACACACACACACACACACACACACACACACACATTCCAGCAGGTACAGTTACAGGTATCATAATAATATTTTTCCTTCCTGGCGCCCTACGACGTCATTTCCCAAATCCCTCAAGGATTTCTTTATTACACGAGACGCTGCTTGGGGAAGATCTTTAGCTAACAGTAGTGGTATTTCTTTAATGTAATAGAAATGAATTATTGAAACTGCAATCGAAACTTCCTTTAGGAGAGTGGGACTAGCCATTCTGACACAGTGGTTGAAAATGCCCCCCCCCCCCCCCAAAAAAAAAGTAACAGTCCGGGGTTTGAGCCTGAGATGGGGTCAAGTTTGTCTTGTTTTTCTAAGAATACCTTGCTGATTTTAAGGTAATATCGCTCAGGGGAAGACAGTTGTATGTCTTTATTTGAGAAGACCAGTTCTGAGTCCGGTGGACAGCTAAATCTCAATCCTCCCCCCCCCCTCATTTTTTTGCCCCTCAACCATCCACCCCCTCCTCACGCCCTCTCCTTCTCCTCACTCCCCCTCTCTCCCACCCCGTTTCCTAACTCTAAGCATACTTACATCGGATCCCGTCATCAGACCCATTCCAATTATGCTGGTTTCCTTGAGCATTGTCAGTCTGGGGTTGATTTCGATGTTTCCCCGGCAACCGATTATCTGCCGTTCGGAAGAAATGTTTATTTGTTTGAGTAAAGAGAAGCACATAGGCACAATAATGGTCACTAAGAGTTGAGACAAAGTAAGACAACAGACAGACATAAACAGAAAGTAATGTGAAGAAAGGCATTTACAATGATGGATGTTTAGACTGTAAAAGACTGTAGCAATGTTCTCAATAATAATTAGGAAAGCGGAACGCACTTATATGACCATATTGTGTTGCAAGTGCCGTAAAACTCTTACTAAAAAGTAAAAAGAAAGCCGAAACGAGAAGGTTCAGATTAAGCGAGCTACAAAAAAGGAATTATACATGTATTTCATAAAAAATGTGAAAACTTAACTCCCTTTCTAATATTCACGGCATGTCGATGGGTAGCCTTGAAGGCTGCTCAGATAGCCTGAGTTTGAGCACATGGCTATGTGTGTCGACTTGTACTAGAGTCACAAACATCACAGCCCGGTAGACTATAATTATTACATATATTGTACAAACCAAGCACCTTTTCTGGGTATCACTTTTTTCATCGTGCCAATAAACAATTATGATTTACAAGAAGTATTTGTCAGAAAGGCATTACAGTCCAAAGGGAAGCCTTATGAACGATTGCCACAGGTTATGTTTCAACCTAAAAGACGCCTAAGAGGAAGATAGAAGTTTTGATACAAACAACAGAATCATGAAAGAATCAAATTTTTTTTCAAAGTAGAATGACTTGCATGTGGTACACTGAAATGGGCCCTTATGAAGAGGGGCGAGGAAGCATGAAGCACCCTGTCTTCCTAAGACCCCAGTTCTACATTCAAGTATTTAAGTAATCATGTTTTTGCCCTACATATATCTTGTTGTTAGGTATGAAACATGCCTTTGATTTTGTGTTCACAAACTTAGTTTTCATGAGTGAAGTTTTGGCTGTTTTTTGTAGTTTTTGTGTGTGTGTTTGTCTGTGAGTTTGTTTGCTTGTTAGCTTGCTTGTTTGTTTGTTCTATTTGCAAAAGAAAGAACCCTGATGGCAGTAATGGTGTAAGTAGGTGACACTTTTCTATAATTAATTATAAGATATACGGATATCAGCTAGATAGAACTAGGTGACAAATTTTAAACAATCGAGGTAATAACGAAATATTTTGGGGAAGGACTGTCTCTCTCAGCGGGACAAGGTGTACTTGTAGTTTATCCCAGAGGGAAAACAGCAATGGACGGACCCTGGAGGGAGGTGGGGGGGGGGG